CAGAGCCAGGCTTTCAAACATGTAAGAACTAATTTTGAAATCTGAAAATTACATCTTACTTCTGTAAAATCAAATTTTGAAGCTATGAGACAAGAAAGCCAAGTTTATCTTATTAACTCACACTTCGTTAAAGAACAAAATTATCCACTAATTTATTTTAAATAAATAAAACCATTTTCATACTTATTACCACATGCTAGATTCTGGGATATCCTAAACAAAGACTCCTATTTTAAAACATCTTAAACCCGGTTTTCTTTTAGTTTTTCTGAAAGTTAGGATAGAAAACGCTTAAATATTTACGGATGGCACTTATGCTCTCCTGGTCAAATGAAATAATTCACAAAGCTCATGTTTCATTAGTGGATTAAACATTGAGAATGAGAACAGGAAGGAAAGCAAAGGCTGTGAGGAATGGGCGTGGTTAACAGGAAAGTGGGATGCAAAGGCTGTGAACTGATGATCATGTTTCAAACTTAGGGGTAAGCACAGAAAGTCTGACTTTCCGTCAGACTTTCTGGGTAACCCAGAAAGTCTGACTAATTTGAGATCTCTAAAGGGCCTCCTGCGCAATTATTTCTTACGGCTTCCCAAACTTCTGTTTTACCGTTATGGATTATTCTGCACACAGTCCTTTTAAAATTTTTACTACTTTTAAACCATAACAAAACCCACAGTGGGTGTGTTTTGATTCTGCAGCTGCGAGGGTAGTTATTGTTCTATCCACTTGAACCAGCGTTGGCTCAGGAGCTCCTCTGTCACAAGATGACGACTTCTGGCAAACAGCTTTGGAGACATGTCTGGGATATGCGTGACACAGGACATGTTTTTCTCCACCAAAGGGAAGTAAGTCAAAGTTCTGTTACCTCACCTTTTGAAAAACAGCCCGCATTGGATACACAGTCACAGGAGCTAGAAATATGCTTCTGCATCGAAAGGGCTGTGGGTGTTTTGCTCAGAAGACTCAGAGAAGGGACTGAGAATTCTCAGGGAGGAATGGAAAAGCTGATCTGCAGTGCTGCTGAAGCTTAAAGAGGAAAACAGGAAGAAATGGAAGCATGTCCTCATGTTACTTTATAATGAGGCATACACATGAAGGGAATTTTTAACATATTAATCAGAGATAGGAGCTGGATACTTATTTTATATTTGGGAAGACAATATTTATCTGTTTTATTAAAATGGTAGGAAAAAAGGAAACATTCCTAACTTTTGCCGTCCTTGCTAGATTTATTTTTGGCCTTGCTTGGAAATGGAAAAATCCAATCAACATTATAACTCGTTCCCCCTTTGAATTGGGATATTCAGGATAAAGTTGGGAAGAACAGGAACTTCCTCCATATGGTGATGCTAAATGCATTTTAAAATGCTAGAAATCCCATTTTCCTCAAAGTACCCGTCCCACCAAATACAGCCCTAACATCAGGGTTTTAAAGTTACCCAGGTGTGCTGTCTGCTCTGGCCTCTTGTCAGTTGTCAGAGGGAACTTTTTAGGAGGAAGAAAGACTTGGGCTGGAAGGCCCTGCTGTAGGGACAGACCAGGAATTGTCCTAATGTGTGCTTGGTAAGGGAACAGCTGATTCCAGAGGGAGGTGGGGAGAACACTGGAATGCTACAGGAATTGTTTTGCATTGTTCCTGTCCTGCACAGAATGTGCATTCTTCAGAGACTTTGAGCTACAGCCCCAACCCCTATTATTCTTTAGTGAGGGTCACCTTTGGGATTGCACATCACTCTGGTCTTAAAAGAGAAAATGTCCCATCGACGTGTACTCCTAGGAAATAAAATCCTGGGATTACTAAGATGTCACAGTAAAGAAATTATACAGCACTACTTTATCTCCTGAAAAAGCATTCCCAACTCAGGCTTCCAGTCAGATAAACACTGGCCGAGAGCCAGCCGCTTGGTTCAGCACCAGTCCCCCAGGTCATGGAAAAATTCCAGCCATGAAAGCTTTTCCTGCATGCTCTCAGGTACAGACTCCACCCTAAGGTTCTGTTCAAAGGATTTAGTTACTGAAAAAGAATGCAAAGGAAAAAAACAAAAAACAGAAACATATATGTACTTATCTTCTCACGAGGTCCTAATGAAGTTTCTAAAATGGAGAGAAAGCATGAAATGCTCTCAGGTGGAAATCAGCTGTGCAGCTGAGGTCTGTGAGGGCTTTAAAGTGGTGCTGAAATCTTTATGCTGTTCATTCCTATCTGTGCACATTCCTATCTGTGGGAAAGTGTCCACACTTTTCATCAGCTTCCTATGACATCTGTGACCCAAGAAATGTTAAGAACTGTGACAGAAGACTTAAAACTTTGAGAGAGTGACTGCTTTGAGGGGAAAGATTATAAAGGTGGGATTTATAATTAATAGTATAATAAATCAGCTGGGACACACTGGGTAAAATAGACAGTGCACAATGATATGAATTGTATTCACATTTTGCTAATTATGATGGCTTGATTACTACATACCATCATGGATCTGCTTGGTGCGGAAGTCAGCCTTGATGGAAACTGTACCATTTCTGGCATTGGGGAATAAAAGTTGACCTGATGCATTACAGAACCTCACTCCTCTAGCTGGCGTAGGGAGTTTTTAAGGATGATTGGGTTTAAGTAGTGTGCTTTAAGGAGTGACCATTTGATAAAATTCATAAGTCACTGGCAATTTGTTAAGTAATTGTACAACCATAGAAAATAGATAATTTCATACCTTTCATCATATGACTTTTTCCACTTAACTGCCGACAAAGGGTATTATAATAATAATGAAATACCATTATGTTAAAAATATTAAATGTTATCCCATTAGGGGAAAATATGAGAAGGTTAACAAAATAAATAACTCTAACTTTGTATGCAGGACTTGACCAGTGTTCTTATTTCCCCCTCAACTAAAACTTTATCAATTTCCTTTTAACTGTCAATACCAGCTAGTACAAATAAACAGACCTAGGAGGAATTAAGATGCTAGGAATGAATGCTTACAGTTTATCATATTTTAGTGCTATGTGTTAGAAAAACAAGCAGTTAGTTTAACATAAAAGGAGTAGAAAACTTTTTATTCATAACAGCTTTATTCATAAGAGTTCCAAACTGGGGGAAAAACAAATTTGTATCAAACAGGTAAATAGATAAATTGTGGTATATTCATTCAAGGGAGTGCAATCGACTTTTAAAAGGAACAAATTATTGACATATAACAAAATGAGTGAGTTTCAGCAGTATGCGTGGTAAAAATCATCTCATAATTGTAAAGCCTATATAATTCCATTTACAGGCAATTTTAGAACAAGAAAAATGTTCTATGGTGGAAAAATCAGAGCACTGCCACTGATGGGTAATAATGGGAATAAAGGAGTAAAGAGGTATAGGCTGATAGTATTAGTCTGTATCTTTATAGAAATTTATGTTAGACAAGCGTTCACATTTGTCAACACACGTTGAATAATACACCTAAATTTTGGGCATTTATTGAATTAAATTTTACTTCCACTAAGAACCTTAACTGAATATTGAACTCTATGTAGTGATATGTGTGCTGAAGTATTTTAGAGCAAAAATGTGTTCACACACTACTTATGGTGAAATACATCAAAACTAAGTAAGATGGGGCCCAGGAATGTAGCTAACACTAAGTTCAACTATGAGTGCCACAAAAATAAAACAAAAACAACAACAAGTTGGATGAATTGGTGGATAGAGAGATGGCTACCTGGGTAGGCAAGGGATCTAAGAACTACAGTAAAATGTCAACAGTGCCATCTGCATATAGATATTCTCTAAAAATTTCAAGTTATTTTCATTATAATTTTCATCAGTTATAGGAATCTAAGCCTTTTTAAGCCATGTTCATTAGGCTTATAATTATTTACTGTCAAATATATTAAACTAATACTGAAATAAAAGTTTCCTAAAGAGTGAGCTTTTACACTTATTCATTAAACAAATACTTACTAGATACAGAATATGTGTGTCTTGACAGAGATATGATCTTGTGAACAAAATATTTTAGTACATGTGCTGCTGCACCAACCACATGGTAGGTAAACAAAATAAAGTGCCTGCTATTGTGAATATAATAATCTAGTGGAGAAGACACACAAATACCATCACATAAACACATCATTACTATGAATAGAAATATGAAGGAACTGCTAAGCACGATGGTGCCTGCCTGAATCCCAGAACCCTGGGAGACTGAGGTAGAAAGATCACAAATTTGAACCCAGTTGGGGCAACATAAGGACTTAGCCAGGCCCTGTCTCAAAATACAAAATAAAGAAAGTAGGTATTTAGTTCTGTGCAAAGGCATTGGGTTTAACCCCTACTACTATCGCCACCACTACTACTATTGATAATAATAGTAGGAACTGTTGCTGGGCTGGGTCTAATAGATATCCAAATCTGAAATAAGGAACTTAACTCATCATTTTTGTTGCATATTTATGGACTCCTGTCACTGAAAGAGAATTTTTAGGACAAGTCAGTAAGAGGCATAAGAAAGGCTTATTAAAGATAAACGATGCATTGGAAAGTGGAGTGCGGGTGCTCAGAGAAAAGAGATTTCTTACAGTTTGAAACTGAGAATATTTATATTTGGGGGGGGGTTGGAAACCCTGGAAAAAAATTGCCTCCCCTCAATGGTACACATCCATTCTACAGGTGTGGGTGTACTGTCTTGCTTTTGGATAGACGAGTTAAACCCTTTCTGACTTCTCTTTGGCTACTTTAATAATCCAGCCAATATCACCTTTCAGTGCTAGGTCTGCTAGGGAAGGAGTGTGAATCTAAACAAACAGATAGGGACATAAAGATCCTTTATCCTAGGGCCAGGCTCCTGCTCCCTACTTTCTTCACTGAGCCAATTTGTGGCCTTCTAGTGATGGGTCATCTTGGGTAACTTTGGATGGGTCTTGGAAATTGAAGTCTTCTTAAAATGAGAATTTTTAGTTATGATGCCCTTGTCTCTTGTTTTTCTTTTCTTTTCTGTCCTCCCTCAAGAACCATATCAAGGTTCTAGAAAAGACCATCTGTCCTGCAAATACTTGGATTGAGAGAACAAAAAGGCAGTGAAAGAAGACTGGCTGTGTCACTAACAGAAGGATGAAGAGGGGACCTACACACTGAGATAGGTGCTGGAAGAGTCTACTTTTCACTGGTTTTTGATACTCTTACTGACTTGGTCCAAGACCTTTCATGTGTATTGCTTCTGTGGCCATATGTGTTCTAAGCTAATATGCAATTAGACGAGGTCTGAGTTTATTACCAGGCATTAAATACTTGATGAAACAAAATGGCAGTTCAATACCACCATTTAATCTCTCTTGCAATCAAAACCCAAACTACCACAGGGAGACTGCAAGAAATAAGATGCAACAGCCGTCATCTCTACTCCTTTCATATTTTGACACTCATAACACATTTTCTATCAAACGTCCTTTTAGAAGATTTTTGTTCTTTTCTGGGAAAGAAGTGTAAGAACACTGTGATGCATCTTGTACACAAATTTTTCCTTTTTCTTACAAATCCAATATAACTCCAAAATAGAAAAGTTATAAATTTAAAGCTGTTTCAGGTACAGTAATCCCAATTTCAAGCACAGCTGTACCACACAGTCACAAAAACCACAGGACCTGTTTCTGTACCTGGAGACTGCACCCCTTGTGGGAGATGGTAGGGAGGATCCCTAGGCTAGCACAGTACTCCACATATCACTCCTTTTCCGGTCTCATCTTGTTCCACTGCTTCTGCTTGGGTTTCCTACCCAAAGCAGTGGGCCAGGCCAACCAGTCTATTGGGTTGGACCATTCCCCCTTTGGCAGGATATCCACTGATTGTCTCCAACCAAAAAACGACATCCTGCTCTAAAATCTGAACAGAGGTCTAAGGAAAAGAGATAGATGGCCATAAAACCACTATTTACTCTTGAGAGACTAATAAACTATACAACATCACATTCTTTTACATTGGCCAAGTCAATGCCCTTGTGCTCTGTGACAATTACGCCTCACCCTTATCCTGTGTTTGAACCTTGTTTGAACCCCTGGTCTCAGCCTTGTTACCCTGTCAATCTGAGTTAAATCAGAGGCTTCACTCTCTTGGGAACGAGAAAGAATTCACCAAAACACTGGATAGATCTTTTGATACATCCAAGAATGCAGCAGTAAACGTGCAGGTGATTCCAGACTGCAGCCTCTGGCCACGGGAGTAATTTAAGTTATAAGTAACCATGTCTCAGCCTTACCATAACCTTTACCCCAATGTGAGGAGCAGTGCTGTATGCTGGGGCACTATTCCTACTCAAATGAAGGATACAGTTTTTCTCTTTAATTTGCACTAATTTGTCCTGTTGTCCTGATCCTGAGGTCAAGTGTGTTCTACTTTAGCTAATTTTCATTTCCCCATTCCTCCATTTCCCTCTTAAAGTAAGTCCCGCTCCCGAATACCCTTCCCTCATTGTTTCAGCTTCCTTTACCCCTTCTGTCTCATAGAAACACTTAGCAGACTGTAAAGCAGAGGCTCGAAGAGAACCACCTCAGTTTCTGTATCCCAGTTGAATCTCTGGATACCACGAAAATTAACTGTAACTTAGACATAAAATCGTAACGAGGCTATTAATTATTATTAGCATAGTAGCACTTCACTTTCTTTAAAATTCTAGAATTGGACTGGAAATAATATGAAAGAAGAGACTGGATCTGTGTGACAGACCACGTGGCATCTAGAAGCAGTCACTGAACTTTGTCTACTCTGCGGATGGCTTTCCATGTTAGAAACGTTTCTTTTTTAAAAAATGTTCTCTGAAGGACTAGGGCCTTCTGCATAGGATTCTCATTTCCCAGAAATGTTCTTTACCTAGATCTTCACATCGCTAATTCCTAAATATCTTTCATATACTTATGCAATCTGGGTTGTTTCACATATACCACTGAAGAAGTCCAAAACTCAAGAACAACCTATAATCATCTGGCAATTTCAGCAAGTTTCATGTTCTGCCAGAGGTTGGGTTGGGAATCAGGTTAAACCACAGGAAGCTGCCTTTTGTAGGTTAAAATAAAAGTAGTTGAGACAATAAATACTCCATCTTTTGTTGTGCTTGTTGCTGTTGTGTAGCTCAAACTTAGGATACTGTACCTAGAAGTGAATGATACCCCTACAAAAATAAATACTCAACCAGAATATCTACTGTAGTCCAAGTGATAAATAGTCCCCAAATAACAAATTTCTCCAAATATTAAATGACATATACTATGTTTATAAAACTTAGCATTTTTGTAGTTTTTTTAACTCATCCAACTGTTACTTCTCAATAAGAGAATGCTGTTAGAGAGTTCCAAATGAGGAAAAGCCTGGCCGTCTGCTGAGAAAAGGCCCAGTGAATAAAATGAATGTAACAAAATTTCTTAGACCACTTCAGTTCATTTTGCTAAGGTGGTTTATGTTAGCTGTGGTTGGATGTTGTCCATAGGTATCTGCTAACCAATGCAGACTGCTTCTAGATAATTTCTGTGTGTAATTTCAACTTCTTGACATCACGCTAGTTAGTTTTCCCTATGTTAAAGAAGCACTAGTGGAATAGACTTTGTACATACCACCAGGTAGTTATTAGGATATTTTTTGGCTGCAATTGTTTTTAAACAAATGTTTGGGAAGTTTACCAACATCAAACTGGAGATCAGATCACTTTAGGTTGCCATACTGTAATGGTTGATACATTGCATCCACTTGAGAAGCTTAGAAGTAAGGAGCCAGTGTCCTCACTTTGTAAACATCCTCAGGCTGTGCAAGAGAAGGGCACAGAGACCATGTGGGTGGAAAAGACCTGCCGGTTGCGTAACCTGCATGCAATGTGAAGGAAGAGCAAAGGTTAGTACTTCTCCCCTTTTGGCTCTGATGGTTTTGCTCTTCTGCCACCTTGAGCTGTTGCCCCTCAGCTATGCAACCCTGCCTTGGAGCCAGCTGACTATAACTGTGAGCTAAGTAAACTTTTCCTTCTTTAACTTTGTGTGTCAGGTATTTTTTTCCCCCAGCAACAAGAGAAAAGTAATTGAAACATATATATAACATCCATTTTTAATCAAAGCTGATGGTCCTCGCCAGTTTATGCCTTTGCTTTTATAAATTTTACCCGTTTCAGCCTGTGGTGATCCATCAACAGGTACCTACTCACTTGTCTGATTTTTCCCATCTTCTCAAATGCAGCCAGGTATTGAGAAGTCACCACAGCAGAAACAAGATTGCTGTTTTGCAGTTAGCTGCCAACATGAATCTCAGCATACTGGATTTCAGTTTCCTTCAAGACTCATCTCTCAGACGCCCAGAAGGAAAATTTTCAAACTGCCAATAATAGTTCTTTCAGAATTGATATTCCCACTTGTCTTAGCTGTACAATGTAGTTTAAATTCATATAAAAATATTTGTATAGCTTTCAAAAATGTATTGTTCTTTCTTTTAAATGCTGATGACTCTTTGAAGGGTTTACCTTTAGAAGTTTCCTATGATAAAAAGGACAAGGACAAGATTTACAGGCAATAGGGACTTGTGCATGGTACTCAGGCCAAGACTTCTTTGCTTTCTTGGCTAGAGCTGTGGACCTGCTCCTCACCTTTGACAGTGTGGCTCCCGCCCCTGATGGACCTGCCCCGGCTAGGGCCAGTCCTGCTCTCACTTCCTCTTAAGGCTGTACCATTGCTCAGGAGTTGCAATTTTAATTTTATCACAGAAGGCTTCGAATGGTCTCCTAAACGGTGTGAAGTTTGAATCAGACAAAAAGCAAACATTCTAAAAACTTGAAGCTTCAAAATATAAGAAAATTACAAATTTTTATGTACTGCTTTAAATTTCCAGAGTTCTTTAAGACATATTTTACTTAATCCTCATAACGCACCTTAGAATTTTTGAGGATAGGATCTATATTTTAATTGCTATAATTTCCCAGTGTCATCACAATGTTTAGCATAAAATAGACACTCAGTGAAATTTTAACTGATGAATGAAAGCAAAATGACATAGTCAGAAAAAGAAAAAATGACTTAGTTAAATCTCTTAATGTACCAAAGATTGAGTTCAGTTAGAGCTTATTATTCCAAATCCCCTATTTCTCTGATAAGCTTAATTTTCATCTTTCTATAGAGAAATTGCCAGATCTTTAGTGTATGTTTTCCCTTTATTCTGATTCTAAAAGAAAATTCTTCAGAGCTCCTGTACTTTCACTGTTAGTAGACAATAATTCATTGCATATCAAAAAAAAAAAGCTTTAAAAAGGGTTTTGAATGTATTTACCATGAAGAAATGATAAAAATTTAAGGTGATAACTATGTTAATTAACCTGACATGCAATATATTTGTGAATCAAAACATAGTATTTTCCTGCATAAACATGTGTAACTGAGACTATGAAAATGTTTGCTAGAAAGGTGAAGACAGCAAATGAGGCTTGCCTGATCAAGAAGGGGAGGAGCTGGCTTTCGCCTGGGCTGTGCATTGCGTTACAATGGTCAGGTATGCTCGCTGAAGTGCTGAGGCCTCGTTGGAGAATGATTAAAGGTAGTCTTCATGTTTCATGAGAAACAGCATGGAAACTGAAACTTTGGGCTAAGAGTGTGATCCCTGCATCCATTCATTCAGTTTCTGTGTCTGAAGGTGAACTAATAAGAGAGGAAGACAGTTAAAGCCATAATGATTTCAGTCCTGTAGCCCTGATTTTGAGGGGAGAGTCAGATTCAAATTTTTCACTTCATTCATTGATCACCATTCCCAAGGAGGGTTCCTTCTTTTCATTTTGGAGAGAAAAATGAGAATCTGATAATCTCTTCTAAGAATTTAATTTTCAATAACTTTTGATTCCCCTGGAGACCCATGTTGATTTAAATAATTTGTGATTCTTCTGTGATATATGTGAGGAATCACTCTGCACCTGGAATGGATGGGACCAGGTTCCAGTGGAGATCTTGTTGAACATTCACATGAGAAAATGTATTTGCACAAAAACTCAGCAGACAATGCCTCAAAATACTCCTTTGATCTCATGGAATGACTTCCATTATTCCAATCCACAAATCAAGGCAGGCCAAGACATATCAGACACTACAGTCAACCTCAAACTTTTGTTGTGGCTTTATTGACTAGAACA